AATAAGCTGTTTGATCGACCATCTTCGAAACAAAGAAATTGTGAGTGTTTTTATAGCTTTCAGCTTTGCTCTCACCTTATATTGCGTAACAAATTTGGTCACCCCTTGAAAGCAAAAACTGCGTTGGAAAACCTATGAAATGACTTAAAACAGTTCATCGAAGAACAGATGAATATTTTTAAACATTTAGGCTGTTATTTGATTACACGGGCAGCGTAATTTGTAAGCTAGTAAAAAGTAAGAGAGACGAGACAAGCGTCTGGGGCACGGTTCCCACTACAGAACATGTTCACAATTTTGATTTTCATTTGGATCGCCGTTCGATCGTTCTAAGTAATTGCGGAAAACAATCTACTCGAAAAACCTTACCAGTGTGTTTTCCAGTTCATGTACTTGACTTTCATCTGTCTGGTATTGGTATATGAATGTAATTCTCGTCCAGCAACCTTGAACTTTGCCCAAACGTACGCGATCAGCGACTTAACCAGAGGTTCTATCTAAGGGGGTGAGGAGTGGGGATATGTTCAGCCAAAAGCAAAGCTCCGGACCGTGCGAACACTGAAATTTTTTGATTGAAAATTCACTTTCGCATACCATGAAAATCAAAATGATCGGTACGGAATATTTTACCCAGAGAAGAAAGGAACAGAGAAAAGAATAACCCGTGAGCAGGCCCTCGTCTCCTAACTCCTTCAAGCGAGAAAAATAAGAGGAGTACTGGGAGAGGAACCAATTTTACAATTCTATTGACAACAGTTTGCACTGGTAATGGGTCAGTAGCCTCCAATACAGTGATCAGAACGCCAAATAACAGCGGGTTGAGAGTAGTGAATGCAATATCTAACATAAACAGCTTATGAACTCTGGGTTCGAATTGGGGGGCGGGGGTGGGATTTTCTTCTTCTTTCAGCCACATTCACCCTCAGTACATGACTGGCATCTTTCATAACAAAGTACCTCTCCCTATCCGGGTTCAGTAACTGATTAAAGTGACTAGTATGGAATAAGTTAGGTAAATGAATAATGTGAATCAAGAGTGTCGCTTGGCAGATGCTCTGCTGGCTGTGTAATCCAACAGAAATAGAACCCCAGAAACCTCATCTGGACAGTTACGTTAAAAAAAAATTCGTTACACCGTCAACGCCCTCGGGCTTCCTTAGCCGCCGAACACAAATAAGTGTTTGAAATGCAGGAACGTATAGTTCAGCCAGCATTGACACTGCTTTTGACGGGTATATCTGATCAACACTTTATAATTTCCTTGATAAAGATTTCAGTATTAAAACAAATTATAATTACAACCGCTGACCGATTGTTGGTTCATGCATGTGGCCAGGCACTGGTGGGCACGAACAGTGTTAAGTTACATAATTGCACATATCTCTACGAGGGGCCCATGGTTAGTTACCACAAATCCAAATAATTCTTTAAACATTTTCCTTTGATCACTTTCTGTTTCCAAACCTTGGAACGGGTTGCCAAACATCGCGTCTTCATCTGATAGCACTTCCCAGCTGATTTGGCCTGAATAATCTTCTGCGGTACTTTCTCTAATTTTTCTCACCAGTCTCACACGTCCTCTGTACAGCATGCTGAATAAGCATAGTTGTATATGCCACGATATCATTTATTGCTTTTTGAGTCAAATTGTGAATTTCCATTATCCGAAGTCTCATAGTTCCGTGATCTCTGACGCGTTTTTCCACAGGTGATTGTGGTTTCTCTGCAAGTGGCTTCTGTATCCCAAAAAATTTCGGTAGGTCTGTCCACACCCCCTACGCCACATACAATGTTCAGATGAGCATCTTGTCCATGAACTCGCATCCAATGATTCAACTGTAGTGACAAATTAGCAAAAATACTCAAACACATGTGACACCTTAGTCCCATGATTGCACCGCATTTTAAACTACTGAAGAATCAGAGCGACAAATAGAGGCAAATCGCCGGCTTTCAAAAACACTCTTAGTAACCATCATGGGGGTGCATCAGTTGAGACGACTGATACAGGACCTAGTACAGCAGCACAGTATATTTTTTTGCACGAAGCATTTCGTAATATCATGTGTTTTATAGTAATTTTACGATAGACAGGAACGTGACTGAAAGGAAAAAGGGGTATCAGATCTTCCCCATGTAAGGGAATCGGGATTCCAGGATCCGTGAAATTTTCGCTTGTGGAATCCGGAATCTGGGGAAAGTTTGCTTATGGAATCCTGAATCCTGGGCTCTTGAATCTGGAATACAGCTCAAAGAATCTGGAATCCAGAATCCAAGTTCCACTTATAAGGACTGGAACCAAGTGCCTGGAATCCGGAACCTACGTCATGGAATCCAGGATTCAAGAGTGTCTCGTTTTCCCTGACATAGGGCAACACAATTTCACTCCAAGATTATACACGAAAATTACTTGATGACAGGAAAAGCAAAAAGGAAAAAAGCTGAACGAAATGAGGTACTCAAATATCTAAATTGGTCTCAAAAGTAGGAGGTGTCAGATGTGGTTTTACTGTAATGCATCTTGCAATCTGGGGGGGAGGGGAAGGTGGAAGAGAGACCATTGTATGGTGCCTTACCCCTACCCAAACATTGGTTGAGTAGCCGCAGGGCTTTCGCTGTTACACTTTAAAGAACTTTTCAAAGCTAAACACCTAAACTCGATAGGCTTTTTCGGTCATAAATTGGCGGATATTCTATAGTATTCTTCCCTTCCCTCCTAGGGGAAGGGGCTGGGACTGTCAGGCTTGGTCCATTTAACATGTTGCTAGCTATTAGGTCATTCAAGGTCGCTATGTTGAATGATGCTTTCATCTACGTTATTTGATAATAGTCGACAGCCAGGAAAGGTTGTCCAATTGAGGCAAGGGGAATTGTTATTGTAAGTCTCTCATTGGCTCCATTAGTAATTTAACCCGGCCCAACATTTCCTGTCCAGCGGAGGTATAAAGTCTTCGATTTCTTCATTATTCGTCCTACTCATTCACTGAGCCTATTCTGCACAGATCTATCACTGAGTACGGGCTGATTTCTCATATTAGGGACTTTAAGATAGTACACTACGGTCGGTTGGGACAGTTGGGAGCGTACACGGGTGGCCTGGGGCCAGGATGGTAAAAAGGTGCGAAAAATTTTAACTTAAGTTCGGGCAACATGACAGAGGACAGTAAAGCCAAGATGTCTTTTGATGAGGTGTGAGACTTGCTGGTAATTTCGTCTGCAGAAGGCTTAATAAGCAACAAAGAGTTTTTGTTTTTATACAAAGAATACAAAGCAGTGAATCCTTTTGATCCGTATTGGGAATTTGACCCATTTTCTTTAGACTCTTTAGACTCTAGAGAATGTAAATCCGAGTTCAGACTAGAGAAAGAAGATATACCCTTTGCAGCCGATGCTTTGCAAGTTCCAGCAAGATTTAGGTGCCCTCAGGGCACAGTTTCTGATTGTATAGAAGGATTTTGCATTCTCCTAAAAAGGTTGGCTTATTCTTGTCGGTATTTTGACCTCGTTGAAAGGTTTGTTCACCCAGTTCCTGAACTGAGTTTGATATCAAACACTGTACTTGACTGGATCCACAAATTTCATGGCTTTCGTTTGACTTCATGGAACCAGGCATTCCTTGTGCCTCCTTTCTTGGAATCTTGTGCTCGAGCAGTCAAACAACAGGGAAGTCCCCACAAAAACTGTTTTGAATTTATAGATGGAACAGTTTGTTGAATATGCAGACCAGATACGAACCAACCTGTTGTTTACATCGGCAATGAAAGGATGCATGGGCTGAAATTTCAGTCAGTGGCCCTACCAAATGGTCTGATGGAAAACCTGTATGGACCTGTGGAAGGACGTCGTCACGATGCGGGAATGCTTAAGGATTCTGGTCTCCTGAATGATCTATCAAGATTTGGATTTAACACAAGAGGTGATGTCCTTTCTCTGTATGGGGATCCAGCCTAACCCCTTCATCCCAATTTAATGAGACCCAAACGCCCAAGGGAATGCCCATGTCTCACCCCTGAGATGGAAGCTTTCAACACGGCTATGAGTTCAGTAAGAGTTTCTGTAGCCTGCGTAGCAAGTGTTTCTGTGCAGTTTACAAGCAAAGAAAGAGGAACAAGAGTCAAAGACAGCGGAAAAAATGGCGCAAGTAAAAGAGCAGGGAGGGGCTGGTGAAGAAGGGAGGGAAACGCTTGCAGACAAACCCCTCGATTTTGAAAACTGCCCACTTGGCCTGTCATACATGAGTTCACACACCGACATTTTATGCTGTCATCAGCTGTCATATTTGACCAATAAAATGTTTGTCCTTCCAAGGAACGGAAATGAACTTTAGAGGCGTGTGTGTGAAACTATAATAATTTTGTTTTTTTGTATTTTGGTACGCGTGGACAGCGTTAACGGTGAAATCTCAATTAATCCAAACAATCAATGCAGGTCAAAGCTCAGCTGGACAAAACAGCACAAACGAGCTGGGCCCAGCAAGACAGAACATTGCGGGAAACCATCGCATTCCCTAACAAAGAAAATCACTTTTAGTTATTCAGATCCAGGAGCTACTTTGCGGAATAAATTAAATGACCTGATTCCGGTACCCTTATATAGTCGCAAGAAGAGCTTTGTGTTTCAAAAGAAGTTAAAGAAAATGCTCTTGCATTGAAGGGTAAATCTTGCCAACCAGAATAAACAACAATTACCACAGGAAGATGCGTGTCACGTACCATACATGACCTCTCAGTATGAAACAAACCTTTTATCGACACATGTCAATATTGTTCGACTAGCCGAGCCAATCACGCGCTGCGTTCGCTGGCAAACACAGCTTTTCAAAAATCGAGGGGTTTGTCTGCAAGCGTTTCCTTCCTTCCCCTCCCCCTCCCCCTCCCCCCTCTTTCATTTTTTGGCTCCTCGTTTCATTTCTCGCCTGGTCAAAACCAAAAATCCCGTCCCTCGGTCTTTTTTTGCTCCGAAATTAAACGGAAACGCTTGCTGATTTCATTCATTCATTCCTAAATTTCTTGTAAAATAATTTCTGCTTCAAACAAGGGCTTGGGATTTGTTCCTGACTCCCCCTCCTTTCTCATTTTTCTGTTGTAATCACCAACCAGTTTATTGAATCTGTCTCGGACACTTCTTTGGTCTCTAGGCATAACTTTGAATCCATCATACTGATTTACAGCACCTGCAACTTCAGACCAGGCTTGACCAGATTCCTTAGATCCAGCCTTGAACTGGTATGGCTCAACAAAGCGAACTTCTCTTAACAGAATTTTGTCTTTTATTTCTGTCCAACGGAAAGTTCCACTGTACATAAGGAAATAAAAAAACCCATGATCAGGTACACTTGATTTTTAATATTTACTAAACAGCAGTATAAGCTCTAGCAGTAAATTAAGCGCCACCTTCATGGCAAGGAAGGGTGTTGGCTTTATGGAACCTTGACTATTTTTAGTGTACGTTCAAGGAAAAAAAGCAAAATTGAAGCATCACAGCATAGCCAGGACAGTTGAATAAGGAAGTAATCTTTAAGGTAACGTAAATGAATAAGCTTGATGCATGAGAAAACAGTGTTAACACTGATTAATAAATCAAGCAATAATAAACATGTAAAACTCACTTGTTACGGACATCATTCTCTTTCGCGCTCTCTTTTGAAAGCTCTCTAAAAGACCAACATCAAAAATAAATTTCAGATTGTGGATTATTGAAAAGCAAAGAATGGTGAGTTGAATAGTTACAATATTGCTGTACTATTCAGTATGTTACGAGAGATTTTTCAGGCCAGAAAAAGTAGAATTTTCTGTCGTTAAAAAATATCACTAAGCTTTTTTTAATGTGATCATAAGGCAAAGCGTAATTCGGTTATCTGTTAAATCTTAAAACAATAAGCATCAAAGAAGTAAGTAATTAAGCTTTACTGTCACTAAAGTTTGCTGCCATTTATGAACAGATCAAGAAGCTGAAAGAAAAGCAAACATAACTTTGAAAACACTGTACCAGACTGAATTTTCCATATAAAAAAAGAAATTCATTTGAACGAAATTAGACCCAACAGTAGGAAAATTTATCACTTACCATATACGAATAAAACTGAGTGCAAATTGGCTGCATACAGTGAAAAAAACGAATCAATCAGCTGAAAGGAAACCAGTCAGAACTTTCAAGACAGGGCACTACACCACTGGAGGCAGTACGCAGCTCTTATAAGATGTGCTGTGGTTTGTCAATGGATTTTTGATAATAATTCTTCTAGCGTTAAAGAAATATAAAGTATATAAGGCATATGGGAATATGGGAATATGTAAATAATAAAGTGTGCTGAAGCTATGAATATACCTACAGTCAGACAACGTTAGGAATGGCTATTGTGAATTCAGTAAGTAATCTAAGGAAGTTTTAGCTCTCTAATTACCACTTTATCTCAACACCCTAAACTAGGAGTGACTTACTGGTTCTCCCCTGTTGCCCTTGTTGCCCTGTTGCACTGTTTCCCTGTTGCCCTTGTTGCCCTTGTTGCCTTGTTGCTCTGGTTACCCTGTTGCCCTGTTGCCCTTGTTGCCCTTGTTGCTCTGGTTACCCTGTTGCCCTTGTTGCCCTGTTGCCTTGTTGCCTTGTTGCATTGTTGCCCTGGTTGCCCTGTTGCCATGGTTGCCTTGTTGCCCTTGTTGCCTTGTTGCACTTGTTGCCCTGGGTGCCCTGCTGCCTACAATCCGCGACAAAATTGTTGAGACATTTATTCTTTAATAGGGTAATTTCGGAGAACAAAAGAATCCGCACCCCTCCCCTGTCCCCTCCATTCAAAGTTGGGGTGTTTATTGTTTTCTATAGGCAGCTAGAACAAGGGCACAACATTGCACGGAGGGGATGGGGGAGGAAAGCTATATTTCCTCCTTTTGAAGTTAATAAAACGTAAAAAAAAGCCAGTTTTGGGCGAAGTGTCTCAACTCATTTGTTGCCGATTGTCTGAATCGAAATCTATGCGCTGTTGTCTTATTAGCACCTGTTAGGAGATGGTAACTAGTTGAGACTACTATATTCACCAGGTCGTTTGTCAGAAGATAGAAAAGATACCCATATAATCCCTTTCCTGTGTTTTTCGAGGGAAAATTAGTTGAACAATCTTTGTTCTCGGTAGTGTTTTCAAGAAATTACGCAGCATACCCACGTACCGAATGATTGGTTTTCCTCTGGTAACTAAGTGTGATTGGTAGGAATCGATGGCAGGTAATATATTGTATTTGAATATATCCCTAGTAAGTTCGAAAGTGTTTATTCGAAGTTTGGCTATTTGACAAGGGTGGGATGGACGATAAAATAGCCATGATTGCTATGCCCAGGAGAATTTTGAGGAAAAATGTTCCAACTTCTAATGCACAGCAAAGCTCCATAGCATCGCTAAATCTGTGCAGCAGATTCGTTGCCCATATACCCATAAGGCTCTTTGAAGAATGTACTTTACAGTAGAAACTATGAGTTCAGGAGGGGACTGGCCACGAGTAACCACAAGTAACCAACTTCATTCTTAAAAGATCATCAGATTATTTCCTTTTCACTTTGTTCTTTTTTTCGATGCGTTTCGATAAAGAAGAGAATAAGAAATCGTGCGCGACGCACCACATTGCACGATGTCAAGGCACTGTTAAGCGTGACACAAAATGTCATGCACTGAAAATAACAAAATCGCCTTACTCTAATAATTGTTCTAAAATAGGTATGATGAAGTCGAACACAACAAATAAAAAGCCACCAGGGGTTCTTCATCACAGCATAAAGAAATGAATTCAATTACCTTTCTAAAGGACGTATGACCACTTTTGAGATTTATACAATCGGCGAGAAAATTGTTAAGACATTGTTCTTAAATAGGGTAATTTCGGAGAACAAAAGAATCCGCAACCCTCCGCTGTCCCCTCCATTCAAAGTTGGGGTGTTTGTTGTTTTCTTTAGGCAGCTAGAACAAGGGCACAACATTGTACAGAGGGGATGGGGGAGGAAAGCTATATTTCCTCCTTTTGAAGTTAATAAAACGTAAAAAAGCCCAGTTTTGGGCGAAGTGTCTCAACTCATTTTGTCGCCGATTGTAGGTGCCCTGCTGCCTTGTTGCCCTGTTGCCCAGATGTCGAGAACCAAAGGCAATTTCTACACTTGACATATACTTTTGGGGTATACAGCTATTTCCAGAAAGGTTGTCCGACAAAATGTGCATTCGACAATCCAGAAAGGTATTATGGGATATGATCAATACACTGTTGCTGTTACTGTAGCTGTCGAACCTACTTTTGTTGCTTTCTTTTAGCACCCGCAAACATACTTCCGTGGACTCTCGTGTCATTCTTTCAAATTTCTTTGAATAACAGTGAATTCAAAACCACCCACAATACCTTTCAGGATTTTTGCGTGCACTTTTTCTGACAACCTTTCTCAAAATAGCTGTAGATATGCTTGGAAATGACTGAGCAATTATGATGACGATACAACCATCTCGTTTCATAACAATGAAAACCATAACAGCCTTCAAGCAAGCTCTTCATTTAATGCATTAGTCAAATCCAACTGCACCCAGACTGCCGGGCCAATCAGCGGGCATTAGCATTTTTGGGCTTTGGATGGCAAACTCCTGTGGGAAGAAATGCATGCATTGGATTTGGCTGATGCATCAAGGATATGGAGAGAAGTAACGCGTGAGTGGCTTGCAAGAAGGAGAGCCAAGAGAAAAGTCCAAGGAAAGGAAGTGAGAGATCACTTGTACGTTCTCTTACAACTCATAATAGGGAAGTTGCTACCGGTCCATGACATTTCCTGGTAGTTTTGCATGTTGGCAGCAGCTTACGTCAGGAATTCCCGAGAAAAATTCCAGCTATTTACATACTAAGCAATGTCCACTAAAGGTCCACGCCTCCATTTTCACCCGTTTCAATCAACCCTTAACAATAGCCTGTATTTGATATATTCCAACATGACTGCGAGGTTTTAGGGTCAAAGTTGCAAATTTTTCTCTACTCCATTGTCTCGCAATTATCAGAAGAGTCTTTAGCACAAAGAAAACTAAACAAAATTGTAAAAAACGACCAGAAAGCCTCGGAGTCATGTTAGAATTTTAATGTATCGAATGTGAGCTATTAAAATCATTGGGACAGACACACGTGTCTGCCACAAAGAAACCTCACGTACGCGTGATACCATGGTGGCTAAGTGCATGCTCCAATAGTGTCTTGTTTATTAACTGAGCGCTGCCGCCCTTTAACCCCTTCACTCCATCTCCGACTAATTACCGTATTGTCATTTTAAATGTGGCAGGCGAGGGGCAAGATACATGCAAATAGAATTAATACATCTTGATTTTATTTCTTTTCCACACTTTTAGTTCACTCATGTGAACAGTAGGGAAATTGTTCTAACTTCTTCTCATCTATGACGATTGGACATTTCGCCAATTGTGCAGTCGTTGCACCACTAGTCCCCAAGTGGCTTAGTTTTCACTCCTGCACATCGGCTAAAGAAAAAGAATGAGCAAAAATATATATGTTGATCGTGTGAGTAAATTGTCAAATACACACTTTCAAAGGAGAAATATACTATGCGTTGGGATGTGACTTAGTAGGAGTAATATTGTAGTAGTAGTGGTAGATTGTTTATCAAAATGAGTGTAACATCTTACAGTATTATAAAAGCTGATTTTGATTTCTAAAATTATAAATTACTAAGCAAAGCAAATAGTATACTCTAATTCAATACAGGTAATATTAGGTTATATTTTACTTAACGAGAGTAGTGTGTCGAGTACATTGTGACACGAACAGATTAATTTCAGAGCTAACTTATTCAGTAGTAGTGTTAGTAGTGGTAGTTTATTGAGTTCATCACTGTTTAATTTAATATTGCATTCTTGGATTGACATATTTATTTACTTACTAGTGATGCCATTTGAGGCACAACGAACACTCCACCCATTCGATGATTGGGGTTTTCTTCCCCGGCGGGGTCTTTTCATGGCACAAGACACATGTCTGTTACTGACTCTTTTCCTAACAATGTAAATTCAAAATGCAAACGATTTGGGAATAACAAAATAACTTGGTATGGAAATTATATATCAATAATTCGTTTTTTCAACTTCGGCTCACAGTAGAATTAATTATACAGCTCCTTGCTGATAGAGATTGAAAGAGATATAGAAAAATAACATAATCATACCTTTGGGTACCCTTTGGGTCACCCCAATGGCCCCGGTGATGTGAGAGTTATATTCAATGCCTGAAGTGGATCATAGCAGCATATCAATATATAAACATAGTTTGTAGATAGGTTAAGATTTTGAATGAAAGGTTACTTGAACATTAAATTTTTTGTTCTCCTACTTATTCAAAGAAAAAATTGATTATCCAACGACGCCTTCTGATATGGCTGGTTTTCAGTTTAGGTAAAGACAAAAGGTATGGCCAAAATTTAAAAAAAGGATGGGGTGCCTGATCACAATGAAATCTGTTTGAGCATATTATGTAACCACTGCTTTCTCTTCTATTCAGCATAATTCGTTAATTGTGTCTTGATCCACTACTGTAGTTACAAAATAACAGAATTATTCTGAACATTTTTCTGACTTTAAAACCCACTTTAGCCAGTAAACACCTTTCATACGTTTTTGCTTTGCATAAACTTACCTTCACTTGCTTGAGACAACTCTTGACAATTGTCTGCTTCAGAACACTCAGAAGGCTGTTTATCTGCTGTTTATTGGGAAAGTTAAATAGAAAAAGCCGGAAATTGATTTATTATTCCCCGTGCCTGGATAACCAAATCGTAGGTACCTTTTGCTATCTTAGCTTAAGAAGAAACAAAATGCAAACTGCGGTGATAAACTTATTAAAAGGAAATATATGCGCATTTCTTGGCAGAAAAAAAATTAATTTTACGTTTTGTATGTTTCAACATATATACCAATTAATTATTTTTTCAAGCAGGGAGGAATATACCATGCTTAAAACATAATACAAATTACACACATATTCATAAATTAAAGCCTTTCATCATTTTCGCTTCGATTGAAATTACCTCGTTCTCTTCTGGTTTCCTCCGCGGAATCTGAATCATTATCGGATGTCTCTGTATCTGCCGGATTGGGAAAGTTATAAAGAAATTACAGAAAACTGTTAAAGCACACCTGAGGGAAAATCTCGACACATACATGACACAAGTTTTTCTCCCCAGCTTCTTCTCGAGCACTCTACCGCTGCTTCCAAAATGCTTTATGTCAGAATAGAGCCCGGCCAAGGCCTTTTTATTTGTTTAATATAAAGAATCAGTTAAATTCCACATTTATTNACCAATTAATTATTTTTTCAAGCAGGGAGGAATATACCATGCTTAAAACATAATACAAATTACACACATATTCATAAATTAAAGCCTTTCATCATTTTCGCTTCGATTGAAATTACCTCGTTCTCTTCTGGTTTCCTCCGCGGAATCTGAATCATTATCGGATGTCTCTGTATCTGCCGGATTGGGAAAGTTATAAAGAAATTACAGAAAACTGTTAAAGCACACCTGAGGGAAAATCTCGACACATACATGACACAAGTTTTTCTCCCCAGCTTCTTCTCGAGCACTCTACCGCTGCTTCCAAAATGCTTTATGTCAGAATAGAGCCCGGCCAAGGCCTTTTTATTTGTTTAATATAAAGAATCAGTTAAATTCCACATTTATTACTTTCAAATGTTCAAAACAAATAAAAACACTGGGCAAATGGCATTACATCTTTTCCTCCGTGTTTTATATACTCTGGATGAGTACATAACACGCTTATTCAACCAACGAGATTGCGTGTTAAATTAGAACTGTATTTTAAAAAATCTGTCTTATTGTTAGGGTACATTTTTGCTCAGTCTGCTTTATTGTATGCGCTTCTCTTTGTTACCATGAATATTTATTCAGTTCAGTTTTCGGTGTTGGGTACCTCGACTCTTTCAAAATCTGTACCCCCTACATTATTAAAGTAACATCAACAAACACCTTATTTCACACGTAAGCAGTGTATGTAAAAGCACCCTTATGTCAACTAGAAAAATGTTTAATGGCTGTATGCACTCGTGCTGTACTCACCCGAACCACTAACATTTGAGCAATCGTTCTCCTTGGCTATGACGGATTGCTTCAGTGCATAGGAATAACCCTTGTGGGGAAAGGAAAATAAACAGAAAGTTAAATGCAAGGTCTCTACTCGAACACGCATAGCGCAATACTTTCTTCCCACCCTTAATGAGGGTGGTATAAAGTATTTCCATGACTCGGGGTTTACTCAGAAAATTAATGAGATATAAAGACTTCTTTTGACGTGAGCATGATTCTCATTGTGACTGTTATTTTTGGGAATTGTGAAAGGACTTCAATAATCCCCCTTTACCATATCGAAGTTTCACTAACCATTTGGAAAGCTTTCCATTTGCCAGGGGTCATCTCCATGTAGTTCTTCTTTGTTGTTGGCGTCATCTGCAAAAGAAACGACGGGCGTGAGTGAAGCTAAAGGAACGAAACTAAGGATAACAGGGGGGAACCCAAAGTCAAAGTTTTAACATAATAAAATTAGTATAACTACCTGTATCTCACCTTCATTTCTTCCTGGTTTGGTCGGATTTAAAGTTTCCACAGGAGAGAACATTTCCTCAACTTTGAAATCTGAAGTTAAAATTAAAACCACAAACATCACTCTTATAAATGCAGCCTACGTTTTTCTTTTTTAATCAAATACAATTTTCTTCCTAGACAAATTAAACGTTCATCATCAGGCATGCATTATGCTTTGATCATAAAAGAATCAAAGGAGAAGTTTGATTAAGAAAAACGTTCCGTTATATAGAGGGCACAATAATATAAGATGAGTAATATACCTTGACATAATTTACTTATTTCGTCCTCTATGGATTGGATGTGGGATTTTACAACTTTCTCGTCCCCCTTCTTCTTCTTCTCCTTCCTCTTGAAGTTGAAAATAGAGATTTGTTAGTACTGGTGGTTCTTCTACTAATATTTTTTTCTTTAAAAAAGGCCTTTGTGCAAATTGTAAAGTGTAAATACAATGATACCTCTCATTCAAAGTTTAGAGGGACCTTAATTAAATTTCTGCTTCCTATTTAGCAACAGTCCCATATTGGGAACAATCCGGAATAGTAAGCGTCTTTCAACTTAGTATTCTAGTGACAAGACAGCGGTTGTTTTTTGTTGTTTGAAATGTTATGTTTTCCCCACATTTTTTAGCAGTCAACCAGTCACTAAAGAGTCCAGGTGAGATGATTCTATAACGCCTATAATCTTAATACCAAGACAATTTTCGTCATTTGATGGGGTTACATGTCTCTTTACACATTTGAAATAAAAGGAATAGTAGAAGACTATTTCTTTATCTAACCAGCCTCGCCGTGATCAATAAAATGCAAGGTCCTGCATGTTAACGCCTTCCAAGCAATCTTGAAACACCTCTGTTTCCTTGTCCCTCTTCACCTTCCGCATTAAACAGGAGTGGCTGGTTGATGTTACAGCCATACTCCTTACAAAAGGATTGAACTTCCAGTGTGAAGACATGTCATTTGTTGTACTTAATTATCACTATGGTAAGTTTGATTGCTGCTGACTTCTTTGTTTCTTTAAGCCTGTGTACAGTCACCCCCGCCCCCACCCTCTATTCAAACAAGCATATACAGACTATCTACTATAGAAAAACGATTTAAGAGGAAGGTCTTTTATCACCTTTGAGGAGGGGGAGGGGGGAGGGGTCATTTTCAAAATCTTGCGTGGTTTTGGGCCTGGGTTTCAGGAGGTCATTTTCATATAAATGAGGTTAACTAGGGGTTTGTTTTATGAGCTCACACAAATTAAACTTCTGGGTAAAATAAATATTCCCAGAAAAGTAGCCTGCCAGATTGATAAAATACGTATTTCCAAATATTGCTCCTGTCAAGTGTGCTATTTTTTTGCAATTAACCACACAAGCCCCACAGACCCCGTTACACTGAATTGACGGCTCATTCAGAAAATTTCAGCCTGCAGCTCTTATCTAGGGTAATATAATTTACCTTACTGGAAACATTGTGCCATTTCAAAATCATAGAAGCTTTAATGGCTACAGCCGCTTGGGTGTTATCCACACAGACGTTATTGTTAAGCCACGATGATATCTGAGATAAAATAAAATATGTTTATCACAGGACAGAGGTTTTGCGATGACCTGACAAAAATCGCCAGAATTATAAGTCAGTGAAGGCTTACATTTTCTACAGCATTAGGCTTAGCTTATCCTGTTGGCCCCAGTTGTTCAAAAGGTGGATAACGCTATCAAGCGGATAAGTCTCTAACCAGTGGATAGTGCAATTGGTTTTCTCTAATACTTATCCACTGGATAGTGATTTATCCAATGAAAATTGATAGTGCTATCCAGCTTTTGAACTACTGGGGCGTGATTGTGTCTTTAAAACACGTGTCAAATATCCCTAATATCTTGGCAATACTAATGGGCAAGCTTTCATGGCCTTTGCTGTTGCGGAAGGGCTGGCCAATCTAGAGAGGTTGCAACTAAACAAGAGTGACCATATGGACTGCCCACTGGGACCAGCGCGCCGTGGGACAAACAAAAAAGGAGCCGTTTAGAGATGTTCGTTAGAGGATACATACAATACATTTTCGAAAACTTTTGAAAGGATCACGTTAGAGAAAACAACGGCTGTCATTTTTTCAACCAAAAGTACAATGGTTCACGTGTGAGCAATACTGACTCAGTATTGAGAAAATCTCGTACTCTTAGTCGTTCTCCCCCCCCCCNGGTGTTTTCTCGCATTCAGGCTCTGAATGCTGCCCGCTCAACGCCTGGCGAGCCCTTTGAAATTTGCAAGTGAATCTCCACAGGCAGTGTTCATCGATCGTCTGGTTTATCTTAATAAAAATGAAACATGGGTCGATCAAATCTAGTAACAATCTAGTAGTAGTAGTCATAGTAGTAGTAGTAGTAGTAGTGGTAGTAGTAGTGGTAGGAGTAGTAGTAGTAGTAGGAGGAGTAGTAGTAGTAGTAGTAGTAGCAGTAGCAGTAGTAGTAGCAGTGGCAGTAGCAGTGGCAGTGGCAATAGTAGTAGTAGCAGCATGCAGCAGCAGTAGCAGCAGTAGTGGTAGTGGTAGTGGTAGTGGTAGTGATAGTTTAGGCAACGGTAGTGATAGTGGTAGTATTGGTTCAACTGATAGTTTACCAAGGCACATGTGAAAAATGTTGCCACCATTCCCCGGTACCACCTCTCGTATCCTCTAGGGATGATAACCTTGAACACATCTAAAATTCTCTGTGCAAGCCCATTCTCCTCCCCGGCTTTCCATAATTCAGAATGTTTGATCGCCCATACAGCCAGTAAGCCCTCCAATGCAAATTGTCAATCAGAAATAGTCCCCAGAACAAGTTCCAATCTCTGTGTACAAAGCCAAATGAACCTTATTCGCTCCTGTTGAAGGCATGTGACTGTAACAGCCTGGTAGCATGATGTCTAGTGTTGCAGTGCCCTTTATACTGTACCATACAAATAACACGTTTTGTTTAAACAAAGCTAAGATGTATCTTATCTGGGAACAACATTATTCCTCAATAAAACGCGTCTTAATGTGTCGTTTACACGGGACAGTTTGTGTCTCATGTGGGATGCGTTTTATTTTTCCCGTATAACCTGCCTATATTCCAAATCTATAGCTGAATACTTTGGCCTTGTACCCTCCACGTTGGATCAGTATTTCAGTTAGGTTTCTACTAAGGACAAAGGGAGTGTCCCTTACTTATGGAAAGGGAGGCATCTGGGAAGATAGAGGCGCTGTAAACGTTTCATACCATCGTGTGTGATTGTAGGGTCCAAAATGGTTAGACTGTTCCTGAAGAACAGGGGTTAGAGAAATTTGACCCGGATGGGAGGTAAACGTAACTAAGTTATCCCATTCACTGCCTACCTCCCATGAATAACAAATGCTCTACAGAAAAACAGTTTTGCAAACTATGATGTCTAATACAACCACAACAACAACAACAAACTTTATTAGAAAATTCTACACTTGAAGAGACCAGGAATAAGGGGGAAAACGACCCAGTTGCTATTTCAGGAAAAGTCAATTTGTAACATCATCTCCATAATCAGGGAAGAAAGTAATAAATTTAGTAGCTGAGTACAGTAACTTATCACCTCACCCCGCCCCACTTCATTAATAGTGAAATCACTTAAGAAGAACAATTTTCAACCTACGAGATCAACTCTAATACAACAACAACAGGGGTTAAATGCTATGTAATGGTTTTAACTCTTAAGTCCAAGTCTAATTGACTTGGAAGAAGGAAGACATGGGAAAAAGTTGTTACATCATCGCCAAAAACAGGGAGTAATGTGATAAATTAGGTGGATCAGAGTACAGTAATTTACCACTCAACCCAGGGTAATTGAAACGACTTAGCTTAATATGAAAACAAACTTTGCAAAGTCAGTAACAGCTATAGTCATAAAAAAAAAGGTTCCTGCCTGCCTAATTTCAGGAGTTCAAGATCTGGAACAGAGCAGCAGAAAAATACTAACGGTAATAAAAATACTGCCTTCCATGGGAACACAAGAGAACTTAAGAATGTATTAAACAATAGAAGGGTAGGGGTGCATAGAAAAAAATCCCTAAGGTGACTTAAAAGAAAATTTGAGATGTAAGCAGCAGTATTTTTACCCCCTCGCCCCTCGTACATTGGGTTTGGGTTATTTTCTAAGCAAAACTACAATGGCATAGGAATATGCTTGAATGAACATAAAATTACTTTCCAGATCTCAATCAAAACTGCAATTCAAAACCTTGTCAGAAAATCAACTGAAAGTCACTTAGGGATTTATTTTGCACATTGTTGATAAGCAATTATTTATTTACGATGCGCTCCATCTTGTCCAATAATGCCTATGTTTGCTGCTGCTGCTGTTGCATCATGAGCAGTGTTTGTTGGCTCTGTTGTTGCTGTTGCTGCAACACTACCTTTAGAAGCTGACTCTGCTGCTCTTGGAACTGCTTCTGTGCACTTGCAGAGACTCTCATTTGTTTCTTCTCAAACTCTTGTCGATCTCTCTTCAGCTTCAACTCCTCCTGTTTAAGCTCGTAGTTAATGTCAGCTCTTTGTGACAGATAAGAAATTGCACTCCTGCCACTGTGTCGTGGTCGCTTACTTTGAGTGTCTTTCAATTTTTCCATTGCTTTTAACCTGATATCTTCAGCTTTTGGTCTATCACTATCTATATTTCGGTTCTTCTCCCGACCAGCTTCCTGTTGCTCTGCCTCTGCACTTTCTTCCAGGGCTATTATTTGCTCTAACAGGTTTTCCAACTCTGTCAGCTCATCAGGTACAATACCAGTTGCCTTTTCTTCAGCTCTCAATTTCTTTTTATGCCTGTTTTATAATATTCCAACATGATCTCTAACAGATCGCTTGTCAACATTAAATGCCAGACAGGAACAATTATTCAGTGTTGTAGCCTCTTTATCCCAAATTGTACTTCGTTGTGTTGAGCCTTTTTTGGTAGTGAATGGATTAAGATTAAGAACTTCACGGCATAGTATCAAATCGTGATCTTTGGTCCAAAACATTACTGAACTAAACTAAAAAAATGTGAATAATTGAAGGTATACACAGACTGATGTGTCTGTTCACTGTACATCTGACAGTATACATGTACATCAAATCTTGAATTTCAAGTTAACAAGTTTACAGTGTGCCCATTTAGGGCTTGTATATATCTGTATGTATCTGTACTGATTCAACATGGCCATGAGAGAGTTGAGAGTTGGCAATAACTAGAACTTAGCTCAGGGGACTGATCCAAGGCCTGCTCATACCTGAAAGCGAGCCAGCCTATCAGAGAGCTTGAGGCTGCAGCATAACTGGGCTGCCAAGAGTCTAAAGGGAGAC